CTAGAGTGCAGTCACGCCTCCGCCCTCGACCTTGAAAAGACCACCAGTGAAAGAGCCAGCAAATCGTCTAGAGGGTGGCTTGAAAATTCACAAAATGGTCCATGTTCCTAACAGTAACAATAAGAAGAATGGTGCCCTGAGAAAGTGTCGCGTGAGTGCTAATCACAAGGTTAGAAAAGAAACAAGTATCATGTGTGCAGGCTGTGGTGTGGCTCTCTGCAAACTTTCATGTTTCAATGTTTATCACACGAAGAAAAACAAATAAAGAGGTGTGGAAAAGCATTTATTGCATAAAATATTGTATTTTAATTAGTTCCTAAAAATGTCATTTTTAAAAACCAATTTTTGTTGAAGTTGTTTAGGAAAAAGAAACTACATGCATTTTAGCGATATAAGGTTTAAAGGGCCTGCCAGGACAGGGGTGAGATTTAAATACCCTTCGTGCCAGTCAAAGAGTTAAAGGCCATAAACACCACCCATATGGTTATTATGCAGCCTGAACTTTTGTTCTATGCTGCTGCCTATAACCAGCAAGTTGATGAAAGATTTAAAAAGTAGAAAGAAAATGTCTTCCAAAAATAAGTGGTGTTATTCAAAACCATAAGGGAAAATGCTTATGCCCTTTCGTAGACCCATTGCTAGGCAGTGAATCTTTAAATATTGGCCGTTGCTAGACAATGCCCACAACACATGTAGCCAACAGTACAGGAACAGTGTTTTCTATGAGTGACTGGCTATTCTGATTCAAGTTTTTCACTCATTTCCACAGTTCCTCTAGGCCAGGCATGTCCAACTTCAAACAGGTTGTGATCGACTTTTTAGTGTCAAAACTGCCAGTGATATGCCACCCCCTCCTATCATCGTACCTCGCTTTAAGCAAAAATATTGGTAAAAATAACACGACACGTGATATTTGTTATAAAAGCAACTAGTAACTGGGCTGTGCCTCTGATGTCTGTAGATTCATCCAGTTGGAGGGAGAAAGCAACACATTGGAAACATCTTTCAGCAACTGTTCAGTTACGTTTCCACACCTCATTTCTATTTGCCGCACAGTGGTGTTTCTTGATAATTAAGGATCTTGAATAGTAGCTATGATCTCTTTCTTATTTTGTATTACAAGTGAATTTACATGCTTTTCACATATAATTTCCATATAGGCCTATGAGATCGACCAAAGATCATCCTGCGATCGACACGTTGGACATGCCTACTCTAGGCCATTTCTTGCTTCACATCTATTATATGTATTACTGACATATCATTCAGTTGATGCAGCACACACACTCATACATAAGGTCAGTTTGAAATATTTTTGTTCTTTTGTTACAGGTAGAACAGATGCGAGCAGAGGAGGAAAGGAGAAGAGATGAACTGAGGTAAGAAATTTGAGCCGTGTTAAGTGGATTAATATAAACTGTTGATTAAAGACTGAAGTCTCTGAATAAAATAACTACATTGCCTTGTAAGTAATGTTTTCAATACAAAATGTGAACTGATGCAAGTAGAAATCATATAGTATAAAAGTAACAAAGCTTGAATGTGCTTGTGTGGGTTGACAGTCCATTGTTTGTAAGCTAATGCATTCTCATTTCAAGTGTTGCGAACTGTTCCAAAATCCAAGATGTCTTTTGATAATGGGCACACAAAATCTTGGATGGAAAACCACAGGAGTCAAGACCTTGCTGTAGATGGGATATTAATGTTAAAGTGGATCTCAGAGAAAGTATTTTGGAGGTATTAAATGTATACAACGATCTTGGGATAAGTTGTAGTGATGGGGTTTTATGGCCACAGTAATGAATATTTAGGTTCCATAGAACCCATGCAGTTTCTTGATCAGTTGAGTAACTGTCAGATTTTCAGTGAAATTCATATGTCATTAGTTAGTTATATGATCTGAAAATTGTAGGAAACAAGAAGAAACACAGCGTAAGACAGAAGAAGAAGAAGAAAAGCGTAAACAATTGGAAGAGGAGCTGCGTAAAAAGGAAGCAGAAAAACAAAAGCTTGAGGAGCAGATGCAGAAGATGGAAGAGGAGAGAAAACAGGAGGAATGGCGACGCAAAGAAGAGGAAAGGGAACGACTTGAAGAGAAGAGACGTCTAGAGGAACAACTCAGGCAAGAGGAAGAACAAAAACACAAGTTGGCAGAAGAGGCAGCTGAACGGAAACGACAGCAAGAAGTGAGTATAGCTAGAAGCAGCATTATATGTGTCACTGTAGTATAAGTACTGACTGCCTGGTTCGTGCTCAGGGAAACGTTTCCTCTAACTGTATTTTCTAATTAAGCCAACTACAATACAGACATGTTATAGTATACATGTTCTACATGTCTACATATAGTCTACAGTTCACTACATGTTATAGTGAAGGGACCTATATATTATATTTTTCCGCAATTTTGGTGTATTTTTTGTGGTCCAAACCAAAGCTACATATGCTTAATCTGTTATTTTCCTTAATTTAACATTAAGGTTACCTCCCTTTTACACACAAAACTTTTGATTTCTATGCATATTTCATATCTCGTTTTATGGTTTAAGGGAGGTTTTTTTTGTTCCAACTTGTGTGTTGCCACTCTTGTGTGGGTCAAGGTCATCATTTAAGTGGCATTCAGTGCAGCATGCACTGATCTGTGATAGGCAGCATTGCTGTCTCTGACCATTCTTTATTCATCCTTTATTTAAGTTTTAAACGCTTTTTTGTGCTGCTTTTGAGTGTCTAGGTTTTCTTATGTGATTTTCAGGTAATGAATGGCCATGATATTGGTAAGAAATAAGTTAACAATAAATGAGAAAGTAAACGTTTTGTAGGAGGTGGAAAAGGATCCAGCCTGTCACAGAATGAAATTAAAAAGTGTTCTATGTTGCCTCCTTGCCTCCTTCAACATTAAGTAACATTGCGGCCTGAGAAGCTTCAATTCTTGAAAAGGAATGTTGGTGTGTCACACTTCAACACAAAAATGTGTAGTTTATATTTAAACACAGGCTGTAGTTGTTTTGAAGAGTTTTTTCTTCTGGGATATAAAGTTGTGTGGTCCATTGAAAGTCAACCAGCATTTTGGAGGAGCATGGCACATCCATCTTCAGGGTCAGAGAATAAGCCAAGGAAGAAAGTAACATGAAGCATGTAGCAAGTAGAGCTCTGTTTCTATGAAACGTCAGTTGACTTTCAACAGACCACACAACATTATATCCCAGAAGATAGGACTCTTCATGACTACTGCTGTGAGATCCTGAATCCTACATGTACTTGTTTCTTTTCAGGAAACAAAAAGACTGGAAGAGGAGGCAGCCGCACACAAGCGGGAAGAAGCTGCACGAAAGAAAGAAGAGGAGAGAAAACGCAAGGAAGAAGAAAAAGAAAAGAAACGGAAACTTGAGGAGGAACGTAAACGAGAAGATGAGGAAAGACGAAGGTTGGTTACAGTATTTGCAATTGGTAATCAGAAAATCATTAGGCTATTTCATTAAAGTTTATCAACTACAAGCAGCATATAATATTGAGCATTCTGTGTGTTATTGGATGAATCATCTGAAATAAAACCCCTGCCTCCACCTTAGTGTATGGAAAATAGTTTTCATGAAAGCGTTGGAACCTTCTTTTGTCACTAGATAATTAAAGGGCTGCTCTGTACATACTGGGGGGGGGGGGCCAAAAAGAGGAAACGGTAAAAAAGACACAGCGCCA